AGCCGAAAACCTCCGGAAGGACGGAACCGACGTACCCGGGGGAACACGGAACCGAACCCGGGGAGGGGCCGACACCAAATCCAACTCGTACGCAGAGGGGGGAAAGAAAACCCCACTCCTTGTAACAATAAGCCCCGCTCAGTGGGAAGAAAAACCCAGGCGGGGTCCAGCGGGGCCCAAGGCCCCCAAGTCAGCCCCTCCCCAGCCTCGAGGTCCGTCACCACAGGACCCGAGGCCGAGTCCTCTCCCCAAGCCCCGACCCCACAAGACAAGGACGGAGCAGCCGGAAAAGCTGGAGGAAGGGGGGCCCACTGGTCAGACCCTGAAGCTTCGGCCGGGAGACAAGACTCGAATGCCTCTGCCGCCCCCCCGGAAGGGGCAACCCCCGAAGCTGCCCGAGTCTCGAGATCAAGTAACCCCTGCTCCGACCCCGAAACCCTCAGACGCTTCGGGGCCGGAAGCAGGGGCGGGGGACCAGAACGAACAGAAGGGGAAGGACGAGGAGGTGCGGACTGAACCAGGATCGAAGCGACCCCCACCCCCAAGTCCGGGTCTCGAAAAGCAAAGCGGGGCAGCCCCGGGGCATCCGGGGAAGCAACCAACCGAGCGCGTTGCAACAGACGAAACCTAGACTGCAACGCACGTGCCGCCTGTACCCGAATAGAATCATCAGAGGATTGGGTAAATTGAGTCACAAGCAAGCAGCAACACTCACAGGACTCAGGGTCGAAAGTATCACCGACCCAACAGGCAGCGTGGCAGAGGCAAAAACAATGAGGGTCACCCTGAGACAAGGGGACCGAGCAACCCTCAAACTCGCACACAGCGAGTGGGGACTCCGGGGTCACATCCATCGGACCCACGCGCCCCCTAGGGGATTCCCAGGGTCCTGAGCGTTTACTTTAAGAGGACTCGCGCTCAGGTAGTCCCAGGCAGGGTGCTGCAAACCGGCGCCCAAAACTACCAAGCAAACTTCTAAAGCTGAACCCCAGGGACGTGTACACTCACGGGGACCTAGCAGGGGGCGCCACCGAGGAGAACAGTGGAAGGGCAAAAACAAACTGAATAAAATGACAGAACCCCCCACCAGGCAAAAACAAAAAGAAAAACAAAACCCCGCAAGAGGACAGCGAACCCCAAGGAACAGAGCCGGCCGCGATGTCGGGAAATACAAGCTGAGCAGCACCCTGCGCCCCTACCAGTGCAAACTGCCTCTTACCTGCCGGTAACAAGGGAGAACAGAACACCCAAGAGCCCAACAGGCGGCCGAAAAACCGAAAGGTAAAACGGACCAGCAGAGGCAGACCCCGAGGAGCCTGTGGAAGGTGGCCCCAAGCCCCAAGGGCAGTACTTACAGGGCACCTAGGGAAGGCAGCCCTAGGCGCATGCAGCCCGAGTACTGAAGATAACTCCTGGCTCTCGCACCCACAAAACTAACACCACACGCAAAGCACAGTGCAGTAGCGACACCGGAGCCAGAGCACACGACCATCGCCTATAGCATCAGCCTCAAGAACTGAGGTGTGGGTAGCCGGCGCGGGGGGTCTGGGGCTCCCCCTTCCCCCTCCCGGGGAGGGGGGAGCTGCGCAGACAGCGGCGCGGCAGTGTGTGACGTCACACTAGTTTGCTTGTTTTCGGTTGGGGAGTTCTATCCACTAGTTCGGTTTTTGGTAGCAATTTTAACCAGAATAGGGGTTTGTTTTGGGGCGCTTACCTTTCTGGGTGCCTGTTCCGGTCGATGGCAGACATAGAATGCTTCCAACTACACGGGGGCTTCTATAGGCCATTGCTCCCCTTGCCTCTCTGAGGGGGCCCGGTTCTGGCCGTGGTCCCCGGTAGGCCTAAGAACTCCATACACATGACTGATGCCAAAGTCTGACATTAGCATATCAGCCTGGGATAGCTCCGGGGAGCCGACGGGGCTCCCCCCAGAAAAAATAACGCCAACTGGAGGGAGGGGGAGGATGCCAGGGAGCCTCCGGAACTCGCCCAGAAAATGGTGTTTCATTATATTCAACCCTGGTTTTCTGGGGGGAGCCCCTATGGCTTCCCGGAGCTAACTACCCACAGAGGAAAAAATAGGGACTTACCCGGGAGGCGGTTGCTGCTCACACCTCAACCCGAAGTCAAGACAACTGGCTGCATCCGCTGACCCAAAACGACATTGGACCGACTGGGCCCAGGAAAGTTAACAAGGTAATGAGAAGCCAGGACCCTGTTCGACTGCCAAAATCCCCACGCCCAATGTAAGCTCTGGACATATTGCCAAAGACGGCAGCAAGAGCCGCGAACTTGCGGACGTCACGGGCACGGGGATAGACCGCAGGCTGGTTAGCCTTAACAACCCGTTCTCGCAAATTTAATAAGTCAATATTGACTTATTAAATATGTGCATAGGTGACATACTTAACATAATAGTTTCCCTTGAAAAGCTTCATAGAAAACACCGACCTTACCTAACCTACTTAGTATGTTAAGATAAGCATCTTATTGCTTCGTAATTACAATTATTACCTAACCTATACCTATAATAGGTTAAGTAACAATTGTAATTACGAAGCTATAAGATGCTTATTTTAACATACTAAGTAGGTTAGGTAAGGTCGGTGTTTTCTATGAAGCTTTTCAAGGGAAACTATTATGTTTAGTATGTCACCTATGCACGCAACTAATAAGTCAATACTGACTTATTAAATTTGCGAGAACGGGTTGCACAAAATACCATACGCGAAGACTCGAGGAGGAGATCAAACCAGCCACCTGACACACTGGACCGATCTGCTGGAAGTGGCGGAGCCGTGGGAAACCTCCGGGTTCAGACACCAAACAAGCAGCGCCTGAAACCATGGCTGGGCCGGCCACCATGGGGCCAAAAGGACAACTCTCCCCTGGTAAGTCTTCAAGCGAGTCAGGACCTGGAGCAACAGCTGATCCGGGGTAAAGAGGTACAGGAACCCCCACTTATCTTCCTGATAAGGGGGCCGGCTCAGGCCGGCTCAGGCAGCCCCACCACCCACCCCTTCAGTTTGAAACTTGATGGGAACCAGCAACTGGCATGTGGGAGGGTGTCAAGGAGCCTCTGGGGACACCCTCCAGAAAAGGTAATTTTATTTCATTCAATACTGGCTTTCTGGGGGAAGCCCTGTCGGCTCCCTGAAGCTAACTACCCACAGAGAAGAAAAACCAGTAACTTACCCGGGAGGTGGCATCACCACATGTTTCAATGCGAGAAAAAGACTTGAGGAAAAGGAAATGATAAGTGCCCACCCCAAAGAGACACAAGGCTAGACAGATCCTGGAAGGTTAACAAGAAATCTGAAAGACAGGACTCTGTTCGACTTTCAAAAACCCTGTGCTTGAATGTCGACCCACGACATGTTACCAAACACTGTAGCGAGGGCTGCATAATTCCTCACATCATGGGGCACAAGGGTAGACCGCAGAACTCCCAGGACTGATGACACCAAACTATTATGGCACATGAAAGTTTGGATAGCTTCAGGGAGCTTCTGAGGCTCCCCACAGAAACTTTTATTGTGTGTGATGTAAATGTAATTGGTCTCCCTTGTGCAGAGGAGCTATCTGCTGATTTAGGTGCTGCTGGTGGTGCCTTGGTAACACTCACTCTCACCTTCTCCACACCCCACACACACACACCATGCACACCCACCTTCTCAGCTGCCCCACACCCCCACACACTATGCCCACCCACCTTCTCAGCTGCCCCACACCCCCACACACCATGCACACCCACCTTCTCAGCTGCCCCACACCCGTACACACCATGCCCACCCACCTTCTCAGCTGCCCCACACCCGTACACACCATGCACACCCACCTTCTCAGCTGCCCCACACACTATGCCCACCCACCTTCTCAGCTGCCCCACACCCCCACACACCATGCACACCCACCTTCTCAGCTGCCCCACACCCGTACACACCATGCCCACCCACCTTCTCAGCTGTCCCACACCCCCCACACACCACGCCCACCCACTTTCTCAGCTGCCCCACACCCGTACACACTATGCCCACCCACCTTCTCAGCTGCCCCACACCCGTACACACCATGCCCACCCACCTTCTCAGCTGTCCCACACCCCCCACACACCATGCCCACCCACCTTCTCAGCTGCCCCACACCCGTACACACTATGCCCACCCACCTTCTCAGCTGCCCCACACCCCCACACACTATGCCCACCCACATTCTCAGCTTTCATCATCTCCCACCCCCAAATTCACTTTAATAAATTCTCTTCACCAGTCTACCATCATCCATGTATTCAACATGCCCAAATCATCTATGTATGCAGTCCTCAATTTGCTATTATAATAACTGACTCTTGCACTCCACACATCTCCATAGTATTTTCCTTTTCTATAATATATATTCTCCTAACACCACATATTTCTCAGACTGTCCATTTATACTGCAATAACCCTTGACTTTTGATTGTCTCTCAATCACAGATAACATTTGGCATCTCAACTCCTCCGTGTAGACTTTGGCTGCATCTTTTACCATCTTGCTTTTCTTTACCAAAGACTTTATTGCATTATCCACTTTGCTTTCTTGACAGACCTTACTCTCAACTAAGATTGCATAAATATTTCATAGAAATCACAAATTCTAGGTATTTCAGCTAAAAGATCACTTCCAACATTTCCCCATTCATATTTCCCACATCAGTTATGTCTCTCTTCACCACCCAAACATCACTGTTGTTCACATTCACTCTCAACATCCTCCTCTCATACACTTGAATACAGTGTGTGTAACACCTCTACATCCCTCTCCTTTACACTCTCCAAACAACTATTACATGCATGCATCAAATTCAAACCAGGGTAAAATAAGCCTTGGGCAATTTACACTTCAAGAAAATGAATAAGTAGGCCTATTACCAGTACACTATCTAGTACAAGTACTGTATTATAAAATAACCATGATCATTACAACAGTGAATATTATATTCGAATATACATTCCACTCACGTGAATTCTGGAGTGATGCTGAGCTTGACTCTGAGTACAGTTCTGGTGATTGGCTGGATGACTGATTCAAGGAGGAGCAGGGGAAATTGCCAAGCTGCTGCCTTTACCTCTTTACCCATCTTCTCATGGCGGAGTAACTTGCCTAACATAAAGAAAAATGTAACAATACAGCCATAAGTATATAGTACTGGTGTATGAAAAGCAATTTTCTTAACAATACACTTTGCAAGATCCTAATGACTCCTGATTAGACTGTTGGATTGAGTGTAAGTTGTGTGAGAGAGACGTATTTGTATATGCATAGGCCCCAGCAGTGGCAGCTCATGGAAAAATAGAATGAAGGGACTGCGGCGAGAAATCCTACACAGGGGCGTCTGACAGCTGAGTGAACAGCTAAGCGGACACTAAGCCCCAAAATCATCTCAAGATAACCTCAAGATCATATATATCAGAAATTTCAACAATAAATTACTAACAATTAACATACCAAGTCAAAACGGTTATGTTAGGAACATACTAACATTACTAACTACTAACTTCATTAGAAGAAAATGGGTTTCAGTGGCTTCCCCGAGAGAATGGGGGGCAAGCCACATCACCAAAATATTTATTTACATAGCACATATCTTTAAAACACCAGCCTGGGAACTAAAGATGATATAAAACATATTCACCAGGACTGGATTTATTAAAACATAATCAAACCCAATGTCTACTTCCCTAAGTCAAAATTTGTGACAAATTCAGAACCGCGGTCCTAGACAAGTCCAGGACCGCGTCGGGAAGGGGACGCTATGCCATTGTTGTGAACTTGACCAGGCAGATGCCAACACATAGATATAGCATCACCAGTCAACACATGCATGGATCATCCACACTTCTCGTGAATTTCGTGACATAGAAATCACAGAGCTCCACTCAACCCACAATTTTGCTCCCTTGGGAAGTATTGTACCCGGTCTACTAATAGAATATATAAATTTAATGACCTTTATTATTGTACAGAGGACCATATGGTTTGTGAACTTGAGTTATCCGAAAGTTCCAGTTTCCCGATTGAGGTTGGGGAGTCACGCTACGCGAACAAAGTTCAGGTAGGAAGCGGTCCATCAAGCCTTGCGCCGGCCGGGGTTGGGGTTACCCTACATGAACCAAGTTCGGGTGAAAAAGTGGTCCGCCAAGCGTCGCACCGGCCCGTGGTGGTCAGTGGATGGGTGGAAGATAGTCTAGTTTGCTTACTGACCATGTCGGGTGCCACCACTCTAGAGTGGCTTCTACCCTGTGACGTCACAAATTCACGGCCTATTGTTCCAATTTTTTTTATGTCATAAGGCTGGAGTGTTCATTCTGAGACTTTGGTTTACATATCTGCACAATCAAGGAACATCTGTGCACAATGTCGGCTCCAAATGCACGCATTGCATCAGTGATGGCTGACTGGTGGGTGGGTGGGGGAGCTTAGGTGGGAGGCAGTATGTGAGAGAGGGGGAGAATTAATGAAAGAGGGAGGGGGGAAGGAGGGAGGGAGAGATGCTAGGAGGCTGCCAGGAAGGGAGGGAAGTAGTGAGGGAGGAGGGAAAATTAGGGAGAGAGGTCGGCATGGAGGGAGGGAAAGGCAGGCTGAGAGGGAGGGAGGGAGGGAGGGAGGGAGGATGGATGTTGAGTTGAACTATGTGACCTTGAAGCAGAGGGATATATGCCATCCCATAGATAACTTTCGTCCGGTAACGACGCAGCATTGCATCATATTTTTACTGTCGGTAATCTCGGTAATGTCGCAATGCTGCGTCGTTTACTAAAATAATTGTCAAAAATCAGGTTTTTATCCAATTTTTTAGGGACTGGTGTTCAATATATAATATATATAATATATATATAATATATAATATATTGAACACAATATATAATATATTGAACAAATGTTCAACCCATGTCATGTTCAACATACAACACTGAAGTGGTAAATACAATAAGTTGTATTATTTTGTATATTTTTTTCTTCATACTTTCGCGTATTGTACTGGCAATATTGTTCTTCAATTGGCCCTTATATGCACATATCCATCTAAAGCATTCTATTAGGAACAATTTCATACCTAAATGAGCGCTGTAACACGAAAATTGAGATTAGCAACCGGTAAAAATACTAAACATTTGTGGGCAGGAATTGAGAGTGTAGCTGGAAGGCGTCTGGGCGCTCACTCGCGGCTAACGCGTAGCCCGTCTTCAACTCGTCGGCAGGTGGAGCATGACCACGTTTTTTATTTTATATGCTAATATTCCTCTAGAGAATTCTATAGCGAACTCATTGATACCAAAATGAAAGACCTAGGACGAAAATTGAGGTGACCAGAGTGAAAAGAGTGAACACATTTTATCGCTTTTGCGCGCTCCTGGGTAACTCTTTCGCACTTTCTCTGTTTGCTGCGGGTAATTAGCTGGGGTTTTGGAGTTTATATGCATTGAGTGCTATAGAAAATTCTATTGCGAACACAATGATACCAAATTTAATCTCGTAGGACGAGAATTGAGGTGACAAAGTTGAAGAGAGTATACACTTTTCAGAATTAACGCGCGTTCCCTTGAAACGCTGGGACCCACTATGCATAGTTGAGGGGTGGCGGGCGTGATGCGTGAAAGTGTTAAAACGAGTAAGCTTTCTTTCTATAATATAAATCTCTTCCCTGATATATGCTGTGTATAGTAGTGGCAGGTTACTACTTATTAAATACTCGGCAGATACAGTTCAAGGGAGGAAGAAATTAACATGAATCTTACCTGAGGCAACACGAGACATTCATTATTGGGGCCTCGCCCAGCGAGGTCCCAAACATGTGACTGAAGGATGCCTAGTGCCTATTATTAGGCTATATTGACTTATTAGCTAAGATACTGTTACCATTTTACAAATCCATTTAGCAGCAGATTAACCTTTAGTAACCTATTATTATTCATTGATTTATTGATAGATAGGCTACATACATAACCCTACCCCCGAAACTTGTAAGCAGGAAAACACCTAGCAGGATAAATTAATTAAATACAATTCACTTTTAAATATAAAATCCATTGTTAACTAATAATAATAAATTAAAGTTTAATAAAGTAATAATTTAATAATAAATAAATAAATACCTGCTGGGAAAATTCCCAACATGTTTATGGTCCTCAATGAACCAAATCAACTAGAATAAACACGTAGTTCATCAAACTAAAACATACGCTGGTTCTCAGACCATGTTTATGGTCCTTCGTACCTAGATCATGTTTATGATCAACATAATAACCACTACAATTAATATAGAGATGTTTACAAATATAGCAGCTAAAAGTAAACTGCTATATAACCATTGGTAGCCTAACTCAGCCAACCTCAATCAGCAGAATACACAGAATTATTAATGTAACATTTTCGCTCCCTAACGACTCTCTCAGTGTCATTAAAACAATACACGCAGAGTCCCTGATGATGCAAACGGCGTCATCAGAGCCTCAGCGGTCTCAGGACCTCAAAGCCAGAGCCTCAGATATTAACACCAAGTAAAGCATCCAGCACTTCCAAAAACATAACATCATTTTTTATTTGCTAACATTCAGGGGTATAAAACCATGCAAATGTAACAAAGTGCACTTCATAGATGGCCTCCCACATCAGGCAAATGCAGTGTTTGCAGCCCTAATGGAAACTCACACCAAGGACTACCATGATGGTGAAATATGGATCTCAGAGTACAATCTTTTCAGATGTGACAGGAAACACAGGCTACAGGGTGGGGTCAGCCTCTACATCAAGGACACACTCATCTGCACAGAGCTGCTAAGCACCACAAATGATATGGTGGGAGTGCTGATAATCAAAATAGAGATCTTAAATGTAGTTATTGTCCTTGTATATAAGTCACCGAAGGCAAATCATCAGCAGTTTAAAGACCAACTAATGAAAATAGAACACTGCTAAGAAAACCTCACAAATCCAGCCCCAAACATCATCCTGCTCGGGGACTTCAACCTATGGCACCTGTAATGGAAGAACCTAGCTAATACAGTTGTACCAGAGAGAATTCCGGGAAGTAGCCTAAATGAACAGTCACATGCAAATGACCTGCTGCGGATATGCGACAGATTTGACTTAAACCAGCAAATAGTAGAACCAACTAGGAAGGAGAACATGCTGGACCTCATTTTCACTAATAATGATGAATTGATCAGGAACATAATGATTACAAATACCTGTTACTCAGATCACAACTTAACTGAAGTTCTGACAAGCATGGGGAATAGACCTTCAAAACCAGTTCCGATTTCCGATGGAGGAGATTCCGATGGAGGAAATAAGAGAGAAATCCAAAATATTTTTTCTCCTATGCAAAATAAAAATAAAAAACCACATCTAGTATCGAGCACCTGCGAAAGGGAGATGGAACTTTCACAGATGACAACAAAGAAATGAGCGAAATACTGAGGAATCAGTACGACTCTGTTTTCAGCGAGTCACTAAACATACCAAAGATTTATAACCCAAATGAATTTTTCATGGATATGATACCAACTTCAAATCATATATCAGATGTCACTCTATCCCCTATAAGGAGCTGGTTGGCCGAGCGGACAGCACACTGGACTTGAGATCCTGTGGTCCCGGGTTCAAGCACGGGCACCGGCGAGAAACAATACGCAGAGTTTCTTTCACCCTATGCCCCTGTTACCTAGCAGTAAAATAGGTACCTGGGTGTTAGTCAGCTGTCATGGGCTGCTTCCTGGGGGTGGAGGCCTGGTCGAGGACCGGGGGACCCCACTAAACCCCAAAATGGGCCGCGGGGACACTAAAGCCCCGAAATCATCTCAAGATAACCACAAGAAGAAGCCCCACTGGATTTTGAAGAAGCCATAGATAATCAAGGTCTCTGCACCAGGCCCTGATTCTTGGAACTCTATATTCATCAAGAAATGTATAAAACCACTATCGCAGGCCATTCACATTCTTTGGAGACAAAGCCTAGATACTGGCATTATCCCTGACATACTAAACGCAGTAGAGATAGCACCACTCCATAAAGGACAAAATAAGGCAGAGGCAAAAAATTTCAGACAGATAGCACTAACATCACACATCATAAAAATCTTTGAGAGTGCTAAAAAGTA